AGTTTGATCAGCAACTTAGGTAGTTTTTTTTCTTTTTTGGCGGGGGGAGGAGTGTCATTTCGAAAGCTGCCAACTACATTTTATGAACGCAGGACGCTGATATACAGGATTACCATAATAAAATAGGCCTAGTCCTAGATATAATAATATACAGTGCTTTTTTGTGACGTACTCACCGGTAAGGCATGTGGGGAAAAATATCTTTTTTTTTTTTGTATTTTAACGTTTATTATTAATTTATTAGCATATTATAGTAAAAGTTAGGCAATTCATCACTTACTGTACCGGCACTTATTTTATTATTATACTAGATCTAGTAGTTAATACATCTCTATATTAAATATTCTATTTAAGATTTTAATTTTTTTTTTTACAAAAAAAGCACTGTTAAATTATTAGTGAATATTAGATCTAGATAAGATATCTATAATTTAGTATAATCTATAATACTGTTACGAATCTCACTATCCAGGCTCTCTGCAAACTGCACCATACACCACCAACTGAAAGAACTTGACAACTCAGGGCTCCAAAGTAACGTAACACTTTAATAGTTGAATAAAGAACAGCCAATACTGTACAAATATCTCTCCGATAACACCGTTACAACTCTTGCACTGGCCTCTCTGTCTCGTTCCAGGCTTGCACTGGGTTCAACAGTTCAGGACTGACTTCACACACTAGGCTCGTTGTGTCGGACTCGATAGCAGACCAAGATCAAGACACCAGCCGTCTCAACTGTACTTAACAGTACTCCGCACTGAACCGTCGTAATGTTCTGTACAGAACCACGCCGCTGAACTGTGCTGTAGTCGACCGGACTGTAGTGGACCTTCTGTTGTGAACCTCCTTTCTGACCCTTGCTGTATTGAGCCCCTTTTCTCGACCGTCTTGACTGCGACACCTCCGCTCTTATATAGGGTCCCTGCTGGCCTTCTCGAACCGGACAGAACGCCGCTCGACGTTTCTAGGTGGTCAGATGACTACAACTCTCGTGACGCTTCTGAGCTCTGTTCACGACGTCAATCCTTCCCGAACCACCATGGTGACACTCGTCTCGGCCGACCGTCGTAACTCGTCACGGTTGACCACTCATCTAGCGCTGGCCTAGGGAGATTTGCGGCGGCTGACTACACACACACCACTACCCCCATGTTTATAACAATACTATAAAGTATAATCTAGATCTATACTCTAGTACTCAAGCAAGGCAGGCTAGGCGGTAGGGGATACGGCTAGGTCATAGGTCTCTAGACTAGATGATACTAATGATAGTAGATCTAGTGCTAAGTGTAGACTAGTATAGATACTTAATAATAAATATATATATTAAAATAATTAATATTATACTATAAATATACTATATCTATTAATATTATAGATCTATATAATAAGAGTCTAAGCTAATAATAAGATAAAAGTGTAATTTTAATATATATGGTCGGCATTTAATAATTGGGAATAGAAACCTATCGATCTAGATCTAACTTTCAATAAGAATTGATAATTCACATTCGGTGATGCAACAACAAGTTACAATGTTAGGAGTTGAATGAAAAATGCCACTGCCACGAAACAGACCACAGCATGTAACTACTTCCAGGTCAAATTCTAACAAACATTTCGCCCTTTTCCTCCTTGTTTTCGTTAATCTACTTCCGTTAGAACTAGATTTAGACCAAAATCTAGATCTAGATCTAGATCCTAATCTAACTTAGCGTGTGACTTGCTTCTAGAGACCGAAGTCTAGAATCTATATAATATAGTTCTATCTATACTTATCTTCTGTTACTTAGATCTAGAATCTATCAATATCTATAGAGATTTATCATCAAATCGAGATTCTAGTTCTAGCTCTCTTTTTCAGAAATCCAAAACATTTTGTCAATTTTGAAGATGGAAAAGGCTTTGGAAAAACAACTGGAAGAAACGTAAGCGTAAAACTAAGTTATTTTTTTTTTTAAATAATGAAATGATAATATGATCTTATAATTGTTTATAAATAGGTCTTATTATTAATTTAAAGTTTTTCATTCCCAGTCACCAGCATGATGGAATAAATGATTCTTTATCATCATCAACATATTGAATATTTAGTTAATTCCTGGAACCTCAGGAATCCTGATTAATCAATTTTATTATAATTATATTTATTAAACAAGCTGGACTAGTTTTGAATCGAAAAAATAAGAATCTTTTAAAATTAAACATTTTCCTGTAGACATGTAGGCGATGTACAGCTGTTCAGACCTACATATTATTTAAATATATTTTTTTAAAACTGATTTGTGCTTTTCACAAATGTTTTTTGTCGTCATCAAATTTTTGTTGTCAATTTCAGATTCCGTATTCCTGGTGTGGTTGGAGTCATGTGTGTTGATAACAATGGACTTTGTTTGGGAGGTGATTATTTTGGTTTAGTCATTTAAACCTAAACATCCATTAATCCAATAAAATAAGGATATGTATTTTTTTTTATTCTATATGTTTATATATACCCATCAGCCCATAAAAGTCTGACATTACCATAATTAAAATTTAGGACGCAACTATAAAATTAACAATAATTAATTTCTTGTGGTTCAAATAGTGCAGTGGAGTTTGTTATTATATGAACTGCAAGAAACATGGCTTTATCCACATAGAAAAGATGTAGCATGCTGACAATGGAATTGAAGTTGAAAATCTTAAGTCGCCTTGATAAGGGAGAAAGGGGAGCTTCTGTCAGCAAGCTTTATAACCCTTGTTATCACATCCACAATATCAGACATTAGAAAAAATTGAGACACTGTAGTGAAATTTGTGTCAAAACTTGACTCAAGTGAAGGTTTAAGGAAAAAGAAGCTGATGACACTGCTCTTGATGCTGTTTAACCTGTTATTTATGCAATTGTGTGAATGAACAGGGAATGAGTTAATCTCACTGATTTCAGTACCAGCGTTGGTTGGCTGAAGAACTTTAACTTGTGTGCCATGGCATAATAGAACTTCACATCCAAGGAGAGTCATTGTCTGGTGATTCTCTTATCCAGCTGATCGAGTATCTGGACAGACCCCGTTCCTAATTAATCCGGACAATCGATATTGTATTGTAGGTGTAAATTTACAGACAATGTATAAGTAACATATGTGTTTACTTTTTTTTTTTTTAATTGAATTATATTCTTCTTTTAACTGGTTGGATTCAACTGAATTATTTGCTTTTTTTTTTTTTTATTGCTTGTCAACTTCAACTTAGGCTTTTTATCACTGGGTAGATTCAACTTAATTCTAAGTTTGTTCTTTGCTTGTTCATATTAAAAATGATCATCATTGTTTTGTCAGCCAAATGTTTCAGCTTGTCAGTGCACATGCCTATCAAAATCATCAAAAGTTGGCTTTATAAAAGTTTAATTATTTAATCTGACATTTATTTCAAAGCTCATTAATTCTTCTATTTGATCTATCTGCTTCAGCTAAAGGAAATACTCCACGGGGCTCATCAGGCTCCATCAGTGCCCTTGCCAGTCAGGCTACCAAATTATCAACCAATGGCACTAACCCAGTGATATGTCTAGAATCAGAACATGGGTAATATTAATATTTAAAGATTAAGTTAAAAAGATAATTTTAGATTTTCTGTTTTAAAATGTTAAATTACTATTTATAGTTTATCTAATATCTAAAGTGTGCAATCATCTATTTGCTTGTTTATCATTTTGACATTCACTTGTTTAAACTTCTCTAGACCTTGATAAAAAATAAATGAGTTTCAAATTATTTCTGTAATTTTGTTGGATCTAATGTATCTCATGGACACCATTGTCTTACCATGAGGACACTCAGAATTGATGGCCATAAAAACAAGTCCCTTTGTTCAAATCTGTTAACAACAACTTTTGTTTGAAATGTATTTGGCTTGCCCAATGAGGTTCAAAGCCAGTGCAAATCATAAAGATAAGCTCTAGAGACGTGTTGCCCAAAGTGTGGTACGCGTTTCCCCTGAGGGTTCGGGAAGAGTTTGAAGGGTGTATGCATTAATTATGCTTCTCCTTCTCATTGATGCAAATTAATGAGATTTTTAATACAACATTTATTTATAATTTTTTAGGAATAATTTTATTTTTTCTCTTATTATTTTTTTAAAAAATGTTTAAGGGAGGGGGGAGGAGGGAGATCAAGGGGCACTAAGAGTTCCTCAAATGTTTGAAAGTGTTTGCATATGTTGAACCTTTGAGAAACACTGTTCTAGAGCATTTATACGGTATTTTTCTTTCTTGACACTATTCAGACTCAGACTTGACTGTCATGCAGCTTTGATTGCATAATCTAGTATAGATAGAACAAGCAGTCTAGAAAAACTACAGAATTATTTGGATTGCCATTTTATTTGAAATCTTATTTTGTATTCAACATCTCTTTTTCATTCAAAGTCTATTTCATTTCTCTTGCAGATCAGTTTTAATCAAGAAAAATGAGAAGCTGACCACTGCCATATATAAAAGCAGCTGATTGGTTCACATAATGAGCAGTGGCACAAGTCTTTCTTTAAAATGCTAGCAGTCCAAGTGAACTAAGGCTCGTATAAACTGATGTTTTACCAAAGTTGGCAGTGATGGTCCAATGGCAGATGTTTATTTATTCGTTTTGCTCTTTATTCAATGTACAGAAAGTATCGTGAATGTAAATATCATCCCAGAATGCACTTGTGTACATTATTTCATATACAAATACACTAAAAGCTCTTTATGGTAAGAGTTTTATTATGACATTGCAGCTATTGTTTAGCATAGTCTCTTGCACATAGGCTTCTAGAAGCCATGTTTCATTTAATGTTTTGTAGTTGATCATTTCTGCATGAAATTTGTTCTGTTTGATTTTGATTTGGTATAAGGATGTAATGATGTGTCCCTGTTTCTGTTTGATTTTGATTTGGTATAAGGATGTAATGATGTGTCCCTGTTTCTGTTTGATTTTGATTTGGTATAAGGATGTAATGATGTGTCCCTGTTTCTGTTTGATTTTGATTTGGTATAAGGATGTAATAATGTGTCCCTTTTTTTTTTTTTTTTTAAGTCCATGAAATATTTTCTACATGATCACATTGAAATGTGTTTTGCTTGTATGACTTTTGATGGATGAAGTTTGTGATTTCACGATTCATTTTCATTAGGCATTTATTGAAAAGACAACTTTATGTTTTTAATATTGTTGATTCACTATGTGAAAGACTATCCTTACTAAGCTCTACACGTTTTTGTTTCTTTCTTTCATTGCTATTTAGTATTACACAGTTTTAATTAAAAACACACAGTTGATCAGAAACCAGGTTCATTCAGTTTCATAATGTTTATTAAAACAAAATGAATTAAAATTAAGAAGATGTAAACTCTAGTAGCTTGAAAGGTTTACATTATAAGGTTAGTGCTAGATGAACGTATGCCAAAGGCAAGTCTTTTTTGGTGAGCTTAAAGGTGGTCGACATAACAGAGGCACCCCACGGAAACCCTCGAAGGACCCGCTTAGGCGTCAACTTTCGTTGGCTGACATAGAAGAGAGCACCTGGCTGCATGCGGCGTCGTAACAAGACAGCTGGAAGTCACTCACGAAGGCCGCTGGATACACTTTTGAGACCAAAAGAAATCTGCTGCCTAGGACAAACGCAGACGACGAAAAGAAAATCTAAATCGACCACCTGCGGACAATCGTTATGCTTGCCCTGGATGTGGCAAAATATGTAGGTCACAGTTGGGGCTGCGCAGCCACGGGAAATACTGTATTCCTCACTAATCTTCGGACTCGAAGACAAGCCTTATATATATATATATATATATATATATATAGCGCTAGACTAGAGTATTTAAAACACTGATTTGATGAAAAGAACTTTAGAACTATTGTAAGGCATTCATTGACCTAAGGTGACCAGACGTGCCGGCTTTGGCCGAACAGTCACTCTTTGGACTGTCCTATCACGCTTTTCATAAAATGTCCCCACTCTGTGCCAGTGTCTTACTTTGATCAATCTTTTAATTTCTAATAATCAGCTAACAGTATTCAATATCTTGGCTTTCCCTGTCAGGAAGTAAGAAATGTCCGGGACAAAACCACCACTAGGGACCTACAGTCACAGTTTCCGTTTATAAAGAAGGCATAGAGGAATTAACAACAGTAGGCTAGGATGTGAGAAATGTGGCCGCTGAGATATAACCAAACATCTGGAATACAGATAGTCATAAGAACGCTTTGCAAATGGAAGCTTCTAGAACGTCTCTCAACATTGAAACAGGTGATAGGAAAATCACAGCGGCAGTCGCGGAAGAAAACTTTTGCTCTCACCCTCCCCTCTACTGTACAGTTTCCCCATAATCACTGTCTTAGAACCATGGACTGCACATCGAAATAGCTGTGAGAAATGTACGACCCGAAATTCAAATGCATGAACCAAAAGTGAAGCTTATCGGCCGCCTTGGTAATGAACACAGTAAATTAACAGGTTAATGATACCGGTACCCAGTTGGCGTGTTCATGGAGCCTTTAAATGAACCATAAACAAAGACGTGAAATTATTTCCACTGATAATAATGCCACTGTTGGGAGTGCAAGTTAAAATATTTGAAATGGAACCCTTCCCAGGAGGGAAACTGCCATTTTATTGCAAATGGTTTACACAAACATGGACTGATAGAGAAAGTTATAGGTTTTTTTGTTGTTTTTTTTTGCTATAATGCTAATACTAATTTTAAAAGTCTGAAACGGCGACGGAATTTATTTTTTCAGACATTTTAAAATTCAGTTTTTGTTGGCAAGAAATCATTTGTTCTTAGACTAAAACTGCCGTAACACATAGAAACATAGCCATAGAAACTTCTGCAGATTCCCTACCAATAGACGTGAAAACAATGTGCGTGAAAACGTATTATTACTTCTTTTCGTACCGTTTGCATGGAATCCTTAAAAGAAGTCTATGTGAATTTATCAATTTTGAATATAGCAGAATTTCGGGCTTTAGCTTTAGTGGTTATCTCTGACTCTTGTTGTGGAGAGAGTGTTTAAATTATCTGCTTTGAAACCACACTCCTTGACTTAATAGATTTAGTGCCTCACCATAATCAAAACTTCTTTGAAAACCCGTGCGCCGCATTTTGTACACAGCATTGCCACACTATTCCATTCAAAAGTTTTATTTATTGATGGACAGAATACTAGTGCTCTTAAAGTATGACTTAGTAGGCCTACTTTGTATGGCGCCGGGTTGGTTAGAACAAAAACGACGTAGAAACGACAATCGCAAACCTTTACAAATGATTCGAGTATCTCAGAGAAAGAGAGAGACTGCTTATTCGACAACTCTCTCAGATCACAATGAAAAACATAAAACTAAAATGTTATTTAACCTTGGTTAAGCCAATAATAGAATATGCATCCTCTGTTTGGGACCCCTTAACTCTAGAAAACATTAAGAAACTGGAACAGACACAAAATAGAGCAGTGAGATTCATAGCAAACGAATATTCACATTTGACTAGAGTAACACCTTTAGTACAATCACTAAATTTAGAAAGCCTTCAGGATAGAAGACTCAAAAGTAAAGTAGCAATTATACATAAAACACTGTACCATAATCTTCAAATACAAAAACAGAATTTAATAAAATACTCTGAAAGACACAAAGATAAAGGCACATTCCTCATCCCATATGCTAGGACAAATTTGTACAAATACTCCTTCTTCCCTAGTGCTATTAGAGCATGGAATGGGTTGCCTGAGCTAGCCAGGAAAACCAGTGACTTGGCAGAATTTAAGTCATTGGTTAATATGCATGACTGAAAGCATGACACGTATGACGTAATCATCATCTTTTTTGAAGTAACGTCTGTATTACATAAGATAAGATAAATTATGTTCCATTGTGGGAAACTTGTTCAGAAAGGCTGTAATGATATGGATTCAAACTTCTTCCTTTACAAATGAACGATAAATGGTTAGTTGACAAGACATCTGATAGGGATGACATCTGATTGGAATTACATATTTAAATGCACAATCGTAATGACGTAGGCCTAAAGATTTTTAAAAGCACATATGCTAGGCAACATCTGAGCAGGCAAAGCCTTTTTAACGTCCATGAATATGTGAAAATATTTGCTTGGTCCATTAAATTATACTCTGGTTCTGGACTTAGTATACCTTTTTGAACTCAATTTATCTTTTGGTTTATCACTTTTCACAAATCCCCGGATGCGCTTCGACATTTTGCCACTGGAAATATTGATCTGTATTTATTAACAACACCACCGCACAATACCAGCGTAACAGCAATTCATTACATTGTTTCTTTAATTATCTCAATAAGTTGAATTATGGGAATGACATGGCCTACATAATTTCGACATAATAATACAGATAAAAACCGACATAGTGACGAAATGCTACAAATAGTTACAATGTGCCATAAACCCCAAACATGTTTCTAGGAAAGGGTTTACACTTTACAGTACACTTCTACAAGTAATCAGATTGGCCAAAAACTGATAACTAATAAAACTAAGCTACTAAATTGGTGACATTGGTATTCTACAAGTCGGACGCCGATCTTTTTTGGAGTTTCGGTTGTGCTACTTGTTAGGTTTCTTCCCCTTCTTTTCATTGCATTCACTCTTTCTCTTTTTCTAAATCTCAAGCGAAGACATTCTATAAAATTTCGTTTGAGGACCTCGCTAGATATGCAATCAAATTGATACTTTAAAAGTCCACTTAAATGATTTACTTTAAGTTATGTTAAATTTAGAAAAAGTGAAATAAATATGGTAGTTATGCGCATTGCTGTATGTTGGTAATTAAATATATCATTTGGTTTAAAGTAACAATTTCATAAACAGTAAAACGGGTTACCCTATTTTATATTATTATTTTCCTATAATATTTTTCGATTTATTTAATGATATGTTTATCCGAATTAAAATTAAGCATACATACATTTTAAAACAATTTTTTAAAAAAGTGAAATAATCTCCATTTTGTTTTCACAATACTTAACGTTGTACTTCGTTCTTATCTTATCTTATATAATACAGGACTATAAGTAAACAATTTTATTTGCAAACCATACAAACAATTGAAGAGATCAAAAAAGGTAGGGAAAATAATTCACCATGACATGATCTAAAAACAATATTTTAAATTTCTTATATGATTTTTGTTTTGTCGAAAATTTTCTTGTAGATTAAAACCATAGACATAAATAAATATAGACTGGCCAATTAAAGAGTTTTATGAAACGAAAATGTGTGACTTGCAATTTTGTGCACTTTATTATAAAGCATTTATGAGCAGTATAAAAGGGTTTTTTAAAACTTTGATACACACCTATATATATTGTATATAAGGAGGCAGTGTAGATTTGTTTAATCTCTAAGAATGAAGATCATGCAACTTTTCATAATTCGGAAATCCGAATACAATAGATATACATGTTTTCAAGTTACATGAAGTTGCGTTGTTCTTACTTGATTTGGTCTGCGCTGATACAATCCAACAAACACGTTTCATAGTGACAAAGGACATAAACTTTCCCAAGGGACACAACTCAAGAGAATTAATTCTACAAGTAAGTCACGATTATAAAGTGTATATATATATTAAATGACAACAAATGCATTTAATTAAATGAACCAAGCAGTGTACTATATAGTGTAGGATATTTGTAGAACTGAAAATATTTATGCTAATAATATGACTGTGTGAAACCTCCCAAGTTAAAATGAGAACGAAGAAGAACCAGAGAAATTCCCTTCCCTTTGTTACGTAACATAAAGTAGCATTAAGTTTATTTTTAGATGGAATACTTTGTTGTGCAAGGTCATGGTTGTGTGTTGTTGACAAGTAATCACACGTTTATTTAAAACGAAGACGGTTATTTCATGAGCTTTAAAAATAGTTTGAACGTAACTAGAAAGGGGGAAAGAGGTAGTATTTTGAAAGACTGGAGATTCAGTTAGGAAGGGGGAGTTCTAACGACGACAGTAAATGTGTTATAAACTTCACTCTTACTCCCCAAATACTGTAAAGTATTATTCCCTTAATACTGCAAGGACGCCTTTGAGATAAAAAGAAAATCCACTGCCGAGGACAGGCGTGGAAGACAAAAAGAACATCTAAATAACATTAATTAATTACCAATGTTTCATTAAGTAATTGTTATTTTTATTCATTCATGTTTTGTTGTTGCTAGTAAATAATTGTGCAAAGTTTCAACTGGATCCTAGAATGGCTGCAAGTGGGAGACATAACGTATTCAAATAAGTATCAGACAAACAGAAAGACAGACA